TTTGTGTTTTAGATAATTGAAAAATGAGAGATAAATAAGATGTATATTGTAGATCTAATGACAAAAAACTAGACCTTTAACGCAATTTTTAAAATATGGATGTTTGTATATGAACATATATTTACTAAATATGTGAACTTCCAAACACTTGAGTCATATACAATTATAATCATCCTACGCGTTAAGAAATAGTAAACTAGTTTTTATAAATTTGTTAAAAGTATGAGTCACTGTAAAATGTCTGTCATGTGTGACGTCTGTTGCTGGATGAAAATATAATTCTTTGAAAATAACAATGTGGAATTACGGAGAATCGGTTGCATGATAGAGCAATGTTAGATGCAAATACGTCATCATGCTTCATAGTAATGATTATCAATCTTTGAAAATTATCAAGATCAAGATTGTTAATAATTAATTGAAAGTTTCTTATTGATAAAGATAAGTAATTGAGAAATAAGATTAGATGGTTCAATATATTTATTTCCACTTCTATTAGAAACGTACTATAACTATAAATGTTTTTTAGTCTTCATTGTGTGTAGACCATTGGGAACGCGTTACTTTCGCAAATGAAGTGAATGAATTTTCGTTATCCATTAGACTTGCTGGATGGATAATCGATTACGTGGAGCTGTATTGCATGTTGAATATTTCTTTGTGCGTTTATTAAGCTACAATTGCAAAATTTTCCTGCAATCGTTTATTTTAAATGATTGACTATTGTACAGATATTGTAATCAATGCGATATATTATCAAATAATTTTTTCATATACGTATACGTGATATGAGTTATCACTCCAAAATAAAATTGCAATAACGTCAATAAATGTCTTACTGTATTCAATCTGTACGCATTCGCTATCTAGTGGCTTTTGATATTACTAACTTTCTGTACTCCTATGATATCGTGCTAATAGTGCTAAATCATTGGGAGAAATTGATTTTTCTTCTGCAATAATTACATTTAAATATCTGTATGTATTGATTCGATGAGAAATCGATTTTTATTTTTCTATACATTAAAAAAATTTATATTAAATAAATTACATACTGTCCGCAATAAAGAGAAGCATATTAGTATATCAGTATTTGCATACGATAAAAAATATATTAAACAAAAATAAAATTTGAGAATAAGATTAAAAATTACGTAAAAATTCTTTCTTTAATTTGTGAAATAGTTTAATTTATAAAGTATTTATACTTTCTTGTTAAATTTGAAGTAATTTAAATTAAATAAAAATAATTTAGTTAAAACAATATTCAGAGACAAGTTTCATTTAAAATGCTGTTGTCTTAAGCTGGATGACTTTCTTGTTTCTCAAACAATTCTGCAAATAAGATATCAATAGTACATGTAACTGACAGAAATAAAACATAACAATTATAAAATTTAATTGATTGTCTTACATGGAATTGGAAATTTGAAGACTGGATATCTTGATGCAAAGAGTTCGTTTACACCGTACATATATGTAGATTCGTGTTGATGCAAGATGTTCTGTTTATACAGCATTCTTCATATGATGGAGGAGCTAGATATAAAAATAAATATCTTATCTACATCTATATTTGATAAACTTTTAATTTTGGGTCAAAATCCATTGTAATAAATTTGTGTATGAATAATTAAATTTCAAAATTTTAAAATTTTAGTGACATTCACGAAAGATAATTTTTAATTATGATCCGAATATGAAAAGGAATAGTCTGGTCTTAAATTATTAAAAAATAAAATAATATCTTTTCAATAAAACAAAATAATTTGCAAATATCAAAATTTCTCGATATTTGCAAAATATTTACAATATAATTTAAAAGAGAAACAAATATTATATTATATATTAATAAAGATTATTTGTTAAAATTTGTTGATTGAATATTTTACATACCAGAATTTTACATATCAAGAAATTCAGTTATTGCTGATGAATCTGGAGGTGCATTTGCAATACTAGATTCTGGAATCATTGGTATGATGTTCTATGAGGTAGATGTTTATGAAAAATTCAAAGCTGGCGCTGATATTGTAGTGATATTGTTCCAATTAAGACTGGATATTGTCTGATAATTTTGCGATGCCTGGTAGAAAGTATTAATAATTAACACAAATTTATTTTATTTTTGTGGAAATATAATAGTCATCGACTGTATAAAATATTATCACATAATTACAATACATTTATATTATTATACATTATTAGAAAAATATGTACGTACATTGAAATATGGAGGCCAATACGTAGAATATATTTTAGATTATATTGCAAAATTCCAATTCCGAAAGTGAGATTGACGGAATATGTAAACGTAACGTATAATAATATCGTCTTTTTTGAACGGTCCTATGTTTTGCGTAGCTGCCACAATTTCCATAACAGTCATCTTTTTGGATGAAGCATGAAACTCGAGAGACTTTGTCAGCAAAAATGAAAATTTGGTATTTATTGCAGGACAGAATTAAATTTAAATTCTCATCAATTTATTAATCAGGTGATATTATATATCATTTACTGATATTATTTATAAACGTACTTGCTGTAATTTAGCGCAAATTTTTTGCACATAAGCACTACTGGTATTATTTAAATTGAGAATTGCCTCAATCCATTGTCCTGGAACAAATCCTGGTAATATAACATGCAAAGTTATCGAACCATCTTTGAAAAAAAGAAAACTGATATTTTTAGTTACTTCATCATATACGGTCATCTAATATAAATAATGCATTATTAATTTTCAATATAATTACCGTATGAGACTGTTCATAAAATAATTATAAAATAGTTATTTTGTATTATTTTATAAAATTATAAAATAATTATGATTCTTGAAATGTGAAGATAATAAAAATGTAAAATTTAGAATATCGATTTCACTCACACATTGTTCACGTCGAATATTTAAGTCGTAGTTTGTAATTATGGTGAACGCAGCTTTACACTCGTAATTGAATCGCCATGGTCTCTTTATGATCACTTTTATTGTGTATCTAATATGACCATTGCGATGTTCGAAACTACATGATATATCATGAGGTAGCTGGATAAAAAAGGATATTTACTTAATCCTATAGGAAGGTGTATATTTTCATCATCTGAAAATGAAACCTTAGTAATACATAGTTACAATATAATTCATTAAAAAATGTATTATCTTTTATAATTATAACAAAATGTATTTGTCCTATCCATTTTATATTTAAACAAATGTCTTTTTGTAATTAAATTTGTATTTATATATATTAATTTATAATTATATTAATTATTAATTATATTATATATTATATATTAATTATATTATATATTATAATTATATTATATATTAACTATATTAATTTTTATTATTATATTTATTTATATGGTACATTTATATTCACGATTGAGACATCAAACGAATGAAAAATATTTATAAAACAAAAAATCAAGTATTAGCATTGGAATACATATTTTAATACAATTTTCTATTGTCATAATACATGAAAATAATTTTTTAATAAATGATGTCTTTGTTCTAACCTTCTATTTATTCTAATAATGTGATAGTGAGATGTGATGTGAGTTAAAGTAAAATACTGTTCGTTTCCTTTATAAGTAGTACTATAAATTTTAGTATCTCCATTAGAATCTCTTGAATGGATTTCTTCAGTCCAGAAAACATTAGCTTCTCCTTTAGCCATTAATTTGAATTCTATGAGTAAAAAGTAATGATTGTTCTAAAAAAAGTTTTATATATAAAATAAATTAATATTAATTAAGGAAATCTACATTTATTGTAAACAATAAGTATATATAGGACATATAGTATGTGTGAATGTGTGCGCGCGCGCGCGTGTGTGTATGGTGTGTGTGTGTGTGTGTGTGTGTGTGTGTGTGTGTGTGTGTGTGTGGTGTGGTGGTGTGTGTGTGTGTGTGTGTGTGTGTGTGTGTGTGTGTGTGTGTGTGTGTGTGTGTGTGTGTGTGATGTAAACGGCGAAGCGGGAAAAATTTTCTCGAAGCGCGTGCGTCGTGAATTATAGGAGGAAGGATTATCGTATCGAAGAATATCCTTTCGAAATTTGATCTTTTATTTGGACTTGTACAGATTCCGCGCGTACCAAAAGAAATGGCAGACACGTAACTTTATCTCATTTCGACAGTTTGCTTTGCGGAGTTTTACGTAAACGTTATCTCTGTTGCACACTCATCCCGTTAAACATCAACGGATGAAAACTTGAACAATGGAAATACGTGTTACTCTCATTTGGCTAGAGAGAAATTCTTCGAGATTTGGAGATTTACTATTAGCTTCGCGCAGATAGCCAGGCATAATTAATTGCGATGATAGCGACCTTATAGAATCGGGAAGGATTCTTTCTATTCTTTTGTCAAGCGATGCGTCAAATGGACCTCGTAAGTTCGCTTTGGAGATCGAACACTTTTCCCTCGAGAATAAAGTCTCTCGAGCGCGAAATTGAAAACACTGTCGTCATCGTATTTTGAAAAACTTGTGTCTTTACTTTTAGATGGTCGGTATTAAAGCATACTTAATTTTATTAGTCCAAGAATTGCAAGTTTGAATTTTTTTGTCACGAAAGAATTGATTAACTGCTAATTATCAATCTCTCTCTAATACATGCATTGTTTATAAACATGATTATATGAAAATATATTGTAATTATGTAATTATAGTAATCTATCAGTGATTTGTGATTTTTTTTTTATCAAGTCGTTACATCTGAATAATTTAAACTGTTAATTTTTTTATTTACCGTTGTAACGAATTATCTATGTGTTTTTAATTTTCTAGTTATATGTTATGAAATATGTAACATTTATAAAAACCAATATTTTGTATCTCGCTGGCGACTTTTAAAATCTATGACTTCTACATATTCAGTTTTTTGACCAATTGCATAAACGATATCAAATAACGAAGAAATTGTATCTTTGCTTGGAATTTTGCAACAAATTTTATATGATACTACTATTTTATAAAATTAAACTTCTCTAATCTTAAGTTATATTTGATTCGTATCTCATGTACATGAAATATATTTATTTATACGCAAGAAAAGCATTTAAGGCGATTTTTAAACTGCGAATATTGAACCAATATTAATATGTATAAGAAAACTGTATGTGTTGAACAATATTTGGGAAAATATAAATAAAATATAAATAAATATGAATGAAAATTTGAAAAAAATTGATATCTTTAGTAGTGTAGTAGTTAAGGATTATTATAATAGTATATTTTAAAAATTATTATAGTAATATTATAGATATCATATAAGCAATATATTCAATTTATCAGGCAAATTTATTAATTTTTATGTAATTCCGCGAGGAATTCCAATTTTGTAATAACTCTATCATGAAAACACTTTTATAGTTGTTTTTCATTTGATACGTCAAACAGAAGTTGACGATACGTGTAAGAACTTTGCACACACTAATATTCTTCCCTAGGGAATAAAAACATTGAAAGAAAAGAACGAAGAAGGGAACGACTCGAAGAAGAGAAGAGAAGAGAAGAAAAGAAGAGGAGAGAGAGAGAGAGAGAGAGAGAGAGAGAGAGAGAGAGAGAGAGAGAGAGAGAGAGAGAGAGAGAGAGAGAGAGAGAGAGAGAGAGAGAGAGAGAGAGAGAGAGAGAGAAAGAGGAGAGGAAGAGACAGAACAGAAGAGATAGGGAGCAATAACTCAAAGTGTTTCATACTTTTTCTTATTTTATTTATTTGAATCGATGTACGCGTTTCACAAGCATTTGATCATGAACTTGACACAGGTACGTTTTAACCCTGCGGTTATAGGTCACGCACTATATCACAATGACATCGCATCTCACCGTTCCATAATTAATCAGCGATTGATTTAATATAAGAGAAAGTGACTTTTCATTTAATTAATTTTGTTTAAGTTAATTCAATGTAATACGGAAAAGCTAAAGTTTTAGAGAATTGATTAAATATTTTTATTTTTATAAGAACATTTTTATAAAACAAGCATAATGCGAAAACTCTTCTTAGCTC